CGGGTCACGCCGGCGCCTACGCCTGCATTGCCGCGAACCCGCGCACCGGCCGCCGCCGCCGGTCGGTGTTCAACCTCACCGTGGCGGGTGAGGGCGGCCGGGGCGGGCGGCGGGATGGGGAGGGTCTCTGCAAGGTCTCTGCGGTCTCTGCAAGGGAAGAAGAGATGCTGCGGGTGGAGCAGGGGCGAGGCCATGCAGGGCTGGGCGGGGCCAGCAGAGTAGCATTATGGGGGCGGGGCCATCCGCGGCGGGGCGGGGCCAGCGATGGGAACGAAAAGCTTGTGGGGGGTGACAGGGGCGTGGAGCGCATCTCAATGAAGGGGAGGTGCCAGCAAGAGGGCAGCAACGGGTGTGGGTGGAGCCAAAAGGTGGGCGTGGTCACCTAGGTGAAGAAGAGCTGCTGGTGGTGGGGCAAGGAAGAGGCCAGCTGGGGAAGTGGGAGCCAGGGAGGGGTCTGAGAACTATGGGGGAGCCCTATGGAGAGGGATGGGACCCAGCGTGGGAAAGGGGGGACTGGTGGGCGGGGCCAGCCAGCCTGTGGGTGTGGCCACTTTGGTGGGCGGGCCCATCTTGGGCGGGGCGGGCGCCGGAGGCGGGGACTCTCGTGGAGGGGACCAGCCTACCTAGCAGAGAGGGCGGCGCTAGCAAGAGCTCGGGCAGAAGCTCCTGGGCAGGGTAGCATTTATGTTCCACAAAGTAAGCAGCAGAGTGAGATGGCAAAGTGTGAGAGTGGAAAGGAAAGGCACTGAGCCGCCCATGGGGGCTGAACAAAGGGACGGGGTGCGCGTGGGAGAGCAGAGCTGCCTGCAGGAAGGGGAAGCGTCTGGAAAAATGAGGATGGTAGAATAAGCTGGACAAGGCTGGGAAAGGGAAGAACTCGACGAGGTTTGGAGGGAATCGGTGTGACGATTCAGAGGAAAGAGGGGCAGTGGTTGGGGTCGCAAGTGAAGAGTTGCAGGACGGGGCAGGGGCGGAGGATAGTGCGTGGCTAGTGCGGTGGGTGGGGCATGGCGGCGGGGCGGCGCTATGTGGAAGTGGGGGGGGCAGGATGCCACAGATGGAAGCTCAGACAGACTGGACCCTGCGTCTTTCGTCGACAGATCTGCCCCCTGGGTCCCCACAGTGCTCAGTGGAAGGGGGTCCTGGCGATCTCAGCCTCCGTTTCCGCTGCTCGTGGCCTGGCGGAGTCCCAGCCGCCTCCCTCCAGTTTCAGGGCCTCCCGGAAGGCGTCCGTGCGGGGCCGGTGTCCTCCGCCCTTCTGGTGGCCGTGCCCGCCCATCCCGGGCTCAGTGGCATGACTGTCACCTGCCTGGCTCGACACCTGGCGGCCACGCGCACCTGCACCGTCACCCCAGGTGAGAAGGCCCGGGCCTCTTTGGTCCTTTGGGGTACTGAGGCAGGATGACGAGGGCTGAGTCCCTCCTTCCTTACTTTACAAGGAGCGGAATGAGGTGTGGCTCCGGCATGGAGACTGGGAGGGCTGTCACCTTCTCGTGCATGGACTTAACTCGAGCTTAGTGGCTCAGGACTGTAACCCTAGCTACTCAGGTAGCGGAGATCTGAGCATCAGGGTTCAAAGCCAGCCCGGGAAGCAAAGTCCACGTGAGATTCCTATCTCCAGCAAACACCCCTCCCCCACAAAAAAAGCCAGCAGCAGAGCTGACTTAAGTGGTAGAGCACCAGCCTTGAGTGAAAAAGCATGACACCACCCAGATCCTGAGTTCCATTACCAACACAAAATTAAAAAGGAGAAATCCCCACCACCACCACCAAAAGTAATGAATATCTTAAGGGGCTGGGAAGGTGGCTCAGTGGTTGAGTGCTTGCCTTGCATGCATGAGGCCCTGGGTTCTGTTCATCAGCACCACATAAACAGAAAAAAGCTGGAAGTGGTGCTGTGGCTCAAGTGGTAGAGCACTAGCCTTGAGCTGAGGGATGGGGCCCAGGCCCAGAGTTCAGGCCCCATGACCAGAAAAAAAAAAAAAAAGAATATCTGAGAAAAGCGAGTTTCTCAGCACATGGTCTAGTCACTGGAACACAAGACAGCACATGATGCTGAGTTTTACCAATGCTTAGCACTTGAACAAAGCACATAGGGCTTGTGATTCACTGAGTTACTCCATTGACTCTCACTAACTGGACTTTTCCCACTCCAGAGGCCCCCCAGGAGGTGCTACTACACCCCCTGGTGGCAGAGACCAGGTCAGGGGAGGCAGAAGTGGTTCTGGAGGCCTCCGGCTGTCCCCAGCCCTCTAGAGCAGTCTGGGCTCGGGAAGGCCGGCCACTGGCTCCAGGAGGAGGGGGACGCCTGCGGCTCAGCCAAGATGGGCGCAAGCTCCTCATCAGCAACTTCAGCCTTGACTGGGACCTGGGGAACTACTCTGTGCTGTGCAGTGGCGCACTAGGCGCCGGGGGCAACCAGATCACACTTGCAGGTGAGCCTCACCTGTCCAGCCCCTCTCTCTCAAACCCAAGGGTCCAGGCCCAGCCCCTTCCTTTTCCGGTTCCATGAGGATGCCTCTCTGTGTCCTCTGCCCCTGGGATCCAGGCTCCTAGCCCCTTTCCCTCTCCTTTCAAGAACCTGAGAGCCCAGCCACACCCCTCCCTCTGTCCCTAGGCCCCTCCATCTCGTCATGGAGACTACAGAGAGCCCGTGATGCCGCGGTGCTGACTTGGGACGTGGAACGCGGGTCCCTGATCAGTGGCTTCGAGATCCAGGCACGGACACAGAGATCTGACCAGAGCAGAGTCACCAACTACAGGGACTGGGTCAACCTGCTCTTTCTGGGTCCTGGAGAACGATCTGCCGTGGTGCCGCTCTCCCCTGGGAACCCCACAACCTGGGTCTTTCGGATCCTGCCCATGCTGGGAGCCCATCCTGGGACTCCTTCCCAAAGCCGGGTCTACCAGATGGGTAAGCTGGGGCGTTGCAGTTTCTCTCCAGCTTCCTCTTCACATTCTGCCCTGCCCCTTCTCACTCTGTCACACTGACTTGTCCTTCTGTCCCTGTGGAGGTGTTGTGAGTCTGTAACATGAACCACACACATTTCTTTCCTGACTCCCCAGGATCTGCCCCTGGTCGTCCCTCTGTGGCCATCCTCTACCTCTCCTGAGACTGGCCTTGGGCTTGCAAACCTCCTGTCTCAGCCTCCCGAATGCTGGGATTCCAGTCAGGAACCACCATGCCAGGCTAGATTTCTCCATTTCCCTCTGTTTGGCACATCCTCCACCCGGTTACTCCTCAGAGCTGCCTCTGCAGTGTTTCTCCTCCCTTCCTTCTTCACACTTTGTAGTTATGTTATATTTTCTCATTTATTTCTGACTTCTTTCCTAGAAGAAAAGACCACAAAGGTATGTACCTTCTCTGGATTTTCTCCCCAGTGGAGCCTCAGCCTCCTCAGCAAATGTATGGAGACTGCCACGAGGGCTGGGACTGTGGCTTTGCGGTAGACACTGCCATGATCCCTAATTCTTGGGTTCTGAATGGGAGGGAGGTTGGGGTGTGGACTCTTGGGTCCTGCCTTGAATTTTCTGTGTTTCCAGGACCCACTCTGAGCCCCGGGGCCATCGCTGGCATCGTCCTGGGATCCTTACTAGGCTTGGCGCTGTTGGTAGGGCTTATTGTCCTGTGTATCTGCTGCCTACGACGCTCCCAAGGTGAGTGGCAGCCTTGGGAAGATGGAACTAGGGCCACGTGGGAGGGCCACTAGCAAGATGTCCATCAGGGGCCTACTTGAACCAATCAGCATGGCCCTACATCATCTGTCCCACCTTCTTCCTTCTATACCAGCCAATTGGAGTAAGGCTCCGCCTGTCTGGTCAGCTTCTCTTGCTATTTGCTGGGCCTGTGTGTGGAAGCAATCAATCATGCATGTTTGGTCCTCCTCTTCATCCTTGCTCAGGAAAGGCTCCTACAAAAAAGCAGCAGCCCCTGACCTTGGCACCTGTGATCACCCCACCAAGAAAGACCATGCAGAAGAGTGTGACCCCAGTACAGACTCCACAGCCACTGCCTATCAAATGCCTACCGAAGGACCTCAGCCCAGTCAGGGCTCACCAAGTGAGTGCGGAAGACCCAGAGATGCGGAGGGAGTTGTGCTTCGTAATCAGGAAGATGAGGTGTTCTCAGTTCCTTCTCTCCAGTTTTTAGTTGCTAGTTTGCAAAGTTGATAAAACTATTGTTTTTCACTTTCTTGAGACAACTATGTAGCCCAAGCTACATTTTGAACTCCTGGCCCTCCTGCCTCAGCTTCCCAAGTGCTAGGATTACAGGTGTGCACCACCATGCTCAGCTCCCATATTTTTTTAAGAAGCATATGATAGTTGTTCAGGATTTCCCACTCAGCTCCTACATATATTAAAGAAACAATGAATTCTACTTTCTCTTCCAAAGGGTTGTGGATGGTCCTTCTTTTTCCTCCCCTATAAAAAGTAGTCAAGACTTGCATCATTTTTCTCCTGAGGTGAATGGAATTTGTTTCTACATAAAAGTTGGGTTGTTGCCTGGTGTCCCTTAGTTTTTCCAGTGGTGACCAGACATTTTTATTTTCCTCTTGCAAATGGAGAGAACTCGGCTAGCTTTCAGAAAGTGAGGGAAAGGGAAATGGGCACGCCAGGTCATATCCAGGGCCCTCCGGAGGTCACCCCCCTACCCTGTGCTTTTCTTCCAGCTCACTGGCCCGCGTCCAGTCATCTGTCCAGGTGGGGGCTCTCGGACTGTTCGGACAGCCACACAGGTGTGATCACAGCTGGCGACCAGCTCTGCATGGTATCTTTTGCCTCAGCAGCAAAGAGCGCCTGAATTGACTGAGGGGTGGGACTGTGTCTAGTCTGTCTGTCTGTCTCTCATCGTCGTCGTCGTCGAAGAAGACTCCCTCTATGTGAATACCTGAACCAGGAGAGACTGCTGCAGATCTGAGGGCTCTGCTCAAGTTCAGAGGCAGGGCTTGTTGTATTGCTAGGAGCCAGAATGGGAGCCTGGTGATTGGTTTTAAGTTCACATGGCATCCTCCAGGCCACGCCCCCTTCAGCTCCCACTTCAGGCACACCTCTTTTCTCTTTAAACTCATGTACAAGTCTGCACACAGCCTTTTCCACCTTACCCAGACTTCTCATCCTGACCTTGAGACATCTTGTGGTTTGACCTCGGTCACCTCCCTTCCCCAGGACTCCCCATGTACCCTAAAGGTACCCACTCTTTCTCACCTCTTCTCTCTCTCCCTCCTCACCCCCCCTCTCTCTCCAGGCAGTTGTCCCTAGAGTTTGATTTGTCTGGTCCCTTTTTTCTCCCTTATGCCATTAATTTAGCAAGTCTCAAAGGAACCTTTCCCATTCTGAAGGTCTCCCCTCACCCCATCGTAGATCGAGACCCACAGCCTCTGAGCTTCCCTCCCCTGTGTAAACACACAGAACCGTGTGTGGCCCAAAGTCCCTCTTCAGATCGAGATCTTCTGGAGGGCTCAAATGCTGCCCTGATCTCTGCCTTTAACCCAGGACTTTGCACACAGCAATCAATAAATACACTGGTTGGCTGTGCTCATGTTTTGTGAACTAGCTGGTATAGGGTTGGCCCCACAGCTTCTCTCAATGTGATTGTGGCTTTCTCCTGCAATCATGTTCCCCACACCCATGGGGAAATGTTGGGGGCACCTTAGTGAAGATCCTCCCAAGTTCTATTAACAACAAGAGGGGGCTCAGCCACTCCTTCAAGGGGCTGGGCCCTTTGAATCTTTCTGCTCTGCCACTTGCAGTAGGTAGGCATATGTTCCCCATGTGCAAGGCCTCCTGTAGCAATGTGGCTGCTGCAGCTCTGGTCCTCACATCTTCACACAACTGTACCCAAAGAGAAAAGGAAGAGGGTAGGGTTCCCTTCGCCAAAACATTACCTGAATGGAGGAGGGGAGAGGGAGAGGGAGGAACTTCCTTGGAAGTCCATCAGCAACCCCCCTTTATATCTTCAGTCACTCAGTCCTCAATGACTTGGACCTCTGCAGGCAGAGACTTTGGAAAAAGGCGTTTTATTGGTGTGGTGGTCTCAACACTCCCCATGAATTGGAACACACGGCCCCCAGGGTCCCCCCGCCCCCCCTCCCTGGCTCCCCTCCCACTTCCCACCCCATCCTGGGCCCTGGGAATGGAAGACAATGTGGGATGGGGCCCACGCCCCCGTCTGAGGTACGGTCACTACCCCTTGCCCCCTGCCCTCTGCCATCTTCTCCACCAAGCTGTGGGTGGTGTAGTTTGGGTGTGTGGTTACAGGTCTAGGGGGTTGTCAGAGCAGGTCACATGGTGTCTTTGTCTGGGCTTAGGACGTCTGGGTGATGCCCCCCACTCAGGGCGGTGTGGCAGCCAGGGTGGGCGATTCCGGCCATCCTGGAGCTCAGGCCCCGCTTTTCGGCGCCCCATCCCTGACCGCAGGGTCCACCTTGAGTGCAGTCCTGGTTACTGCCTACGGGACGGCGGGAGCCAGGAGATATTGCTGGTCACAGGCGCTGGTGCGTGTGTGTTTGAGTGTGTGTGAGCGCGGTCAGGTCAGCCTTTGGGAGGTACAGTTGGTGGAGACACCGGGGATCCCACACCTGGGGACCAGCTGCAGGGGACCCGAGGAGCAGCTGGTGGCCAAGGTGGGGAGCGGTGATGGGGGTGGGGCAAAGCACTGAGACAGACAGGCGACAGCCTAGCCGCCGGCCTGACAGTTGTATGGAAGCACCGATTGGCCCAGGAAGGGGGCCAGAAAGTTCGGGGTGGGGGTGGGGGAGGGAAACAGGGGAAGGGGGAAGGTTTCAGGCCCCTAAGCCAGTGGTGGGGCTTCTGGCGACAGGCAGCTGGTGGCAGAGCAGAGGGAAAGCAGCCAGAATGGAGATCCCCGACCCAGTCACCAGGCTGAGCCACAGCGGCTGCGCAGGAGGTGCCTTTCCCGAGCGAGGGGAGGGGTCGGTGTGCGTGCATATATGGGAAAGGCGGGCGTCTCCTGTCACCACGAGGACCCCATCCCAACCGCCAGCACAGAGGCAGCAGGGCTGGGGGGGGAGGACACAGGGTGGGAGGGATGGACGACTGCTGATCCATCCCACCCCTCAAGCCCACCATACACACACACACACACACACACACACACACACACGTGTGGGCTCACACTCACACACCCCATCCACACACACAGACACACACGAGCCAGTTGACAGCCTGAGCTAAGAGAAGGGCGCGGGGTGGCCGGGGGTGGGTCACAATCGGAACGGTGAACGGGTGGCGAGAATGGCTGTAGAAAGATGGACAATTTTACAGTATCCCTCACAGTGACGGGTTTTCTAAAGATCTTTCTCCTCCTCCTTCTTCCTCCTCTTCTTTCTCCTCTTCTTTCTCCTCTTCTTCCTCTCCTCTTCCTCCATGGCTGAGAGCTCTTTCGCCCCCTCCTGACTCAATGGCGCTTTCTCTCTCCCCCTAGTCTCCTCTCTTGGCCCGAGGCCCCCTGCAGGGGGAGACGCCCGCGGTGCCTACATCCTCCACCACAGCCAGCCCAGGGCAGACAGGACAGTCAGGGGCCCTGGGGGCCTGGGGGCCGAGTTCTCCAGGGATCCTGGGCCTGGTAAGAGAGAGAGAGGGTCATGAAAATGGGGCTGGGATGGGAGAGAACTCTGTAGCCCTGCACAATGTCTCCGTCTCTAAGTCTCTCTATCTCTCTTAATTTGTACCAATGCCGGGGCTTGAACTCAGAGCCCTGCACTCTCACTTGGCTTTTTGTTTGTTTGTTTGCTCAAGGCTGGAACTCTACTAGTTGAGCCATGCCTCCACTCCTCGCTTTTTTCCTTGTTCGTTGGAGGTAAGGGTCTCATGGGCTTTTCTACCCAGGGAAGACTTTGAACCACGAGCCTCTGATCTCAGTCTCCTGAGTGGTTAGGATTACAGGCGTGCGCCCAGCTTCCCTTGACTTTTTTTGAGACATGGTCTGGCTCTGTATGTCAGGGTAGACTTCAATGCTGCATCCTCCTTGTTCACGCGTCCAAAGCAGCTGGGGGATGTGGGGTGGGGAGGTTTCGGGTACCGACCATCTCCGGTGGCTGGCTATTATCACAGTGGCCTCCTTCCTGGTGTCTACCTCCACCCTGCCCAGTCCATCCCACTAACAGCAGCTCACAAGCTAACCAAGCACCAACGCCTCCCAGTTTGACAGCCCTGTCTTGCAGTTCAGCAATATCCGGGTGTCTGATGCCCCTTCCTGTCTAAGGGCAGGGGCCAGGGCTCGCTCTCCATGGGTTAGGCTATTCTCCCCGTGCTTTTGCCACCGAGGTTCCCTTTCCCACGCCTTTGCTCAGGGTTGACTCCTGTCTGTTCAGGCCTCCGTGTAAATGTTGGACCATCCCGGAAGCTGTGTCTGATGATACTCCTCCTCATCCTCACCAGCCCCGCGGGCTTTCCTCTCTCGGTCGTCTCTGTATCCCAAATCCCTTTTGTGCATGTATGTGTTCCTTCATCTTCCCATCCCCCGGCTTCTGGATTTTCTACTCCTGAGTCATGAACTCTTCCTGTTTCTGTTGTACAACTGCTGTAGTCCTCGTGACTGGCCCTTAGTGGGCGCTCAGGGAATCCTGAGGGAATGGATGCTTCCTTGGCTCATGGAAAAGCTCTCATCTCAGTGTCTGGACTAGGGAGGAGGCAGGCCTGTGTCCTAGGCCTCTCCCCCAGGACCGGCCCACCCCTGTCCAGGCCTCGCTCCCCACTAGGGCCCTGCCCATCTCAAGGCCCGCCCCCAGCACCGGGCCCGCCCTTTCCTGCCTCACCCCACCTCCTGGACACGCCCCTCTCAGCCCCGCCTTCTGGACCCCGCCTCACTGCCTGGCACACCCCCCCAGCCCCACCCCACCGCCTAGGCACGCCCCCTCCCCAGCCACTGCCCCAGGGCCTGGGCCCCGCCCCGCCGCTTGGACACGCCTCCTCCCAGCCCCGCCTCCTGAGTCCCGCCCCATTGCCTGGGCACGCCCCCCAGACCCGCTCCACAGCCTGGGCCACGCCCCACCACCTGGGCACGTCCCCCTCCTCAGCCGGGCCTGCCACCTGGGCCCCTCCCCAGCGCCTGCCCCGCCGCCTGGGCCCCGTCCCCCGCCCCGACTCACGCAGGAGCCGCATGGAGGCGCTGGACGCTCCCAGCCGGTTGGCGGCGCGACACGTGTAGTTGCCGTAGTGCCGGGCGCTCACGTTGGCGAAGAGCAGCATGGAGCGGGTGCGCTCCGTCTGCACCTTCAGGCCCTCGGCCGCGCCACTGCTCAGCCTGCGGGACACCGGTCCGGGTTGGGTAAGGCTCCCGTCGAGGCGCCCAGTCCAGCTCCCGGGCTTCTCTGCCCAGGAGACGCTGCGTTCCCCCCCCCCGTACCCCAGGGCTCCCAGAGTCCTCTCTCCAGCCCCGCGGTCCCGTGGCCGCTGGATCCCGGCCCCAGGCTTGCATTCATCACCCTGGGAGCCTCCCGGGGCCTGGCGGGCCCCTGCCAGGGACGCCGGACCCCTCGGCCCTGCGGTGCCTGGGGCCGTGGGCCTCACCTGCCCTCCCCTCCCCTGCCTGGCCCTCCTCTGCCCTCTCCCCCCTCTGCCCCCCGCCCCCGGTGACGTCCTCACAGCCTGTCATCCTTGTACCACTGGAAGTCCGCGGGCGGCACAGCCATGGCTTCACAGCGCAGGAGCGCGGCCCGGCCCGGGGCGGTGCGCGCGCTGGTCACGTCGGTGATGGTCGGGGGATCTGGCGAGGAGCGGAGGCCAGCAAGGGCTCTTAGCTGTCGGGGAGTATGGCGCCCCCGCTCCCTCCTCCCGCAGACCCCGCGTTCTACCCAGCTTCCTCTTCATGGGACAGCCCCCTCCTTCCGCGGGCACCCGGGGCCCGCCCTCCTCCCCCGCCCCATCCAGGGCCCGCCCCCATTCTCCCCTCCCCGAGCCAGGGCCCGCCTCCTTACTCCCCACCCCCCGGGGCCCACCGCCTCCCTACCCCCCCCACCCCATCCAGAGCCAGGGGCGCTCACAGTTGACTGTGACCAGCACCCGGCGGCTGTCGGGCGCCGAGTTCACGCCGTTGTGGGTCACGCACTCGTACTCCCCGGCCTGGCCCCGCTGGATGTCGGAAATCTCCAGGATCTCGCCCTCCGAGGTGAAGCCGTCTGTGAGGGGAGGGTGGAGGGGGGGCGGGGCCGGACACAAACACTTAACACGGGACAACACGGGCACAACACGGACACACAAGCGGGGCGCGCACAGCAGGGCCTGGTGTGCCCGGGTCCGTAGGCGCTGGGTGGGCCGGGGGCGGGGCGGGCGGGGCCAGGGGCGGGGCCGGGAGGCCTGCGGGGTGGGCGTGCTAGGTGGGCGGGGGCGGCGTGGTGGGGCGGGCCAGGGCTTGTGGAGTAGGCGGGGCCAGATGTGTGGGTGTTGTTGTGGGGCGGGGCCTGGGCGGGGCCAGATGGAAGGGCGGGGCCCGCGGGGAAGGCCAGAGGACTCCAGGGGTCAGAATGAAATCCTAGGAAGGAAGCAGCCAAAGTTTTGGGTCTCAAAAGAATCTGCGGCTACAGATTCCGTGGGTGCAGCCCCGAGTCCAGTAATGGAGCTCCTCGGGTCCAGAGAATGAGAATCTGTTGCTGGGATCAGCGACCCAAACGTGGGAGGCCCTCTGTTCAAGTCCCAGCAGGTCCTCTAGGCCTCAGGACATCCAGCAACCCCTGATGTCCTGGAGCTCAGAAGCATAGTGGGGGTGGGGGCACTCCAGGGATCTGAGCTTTTGCCATTGGGTTCTGGGGTCTCAGGGGATCCACGGGTCAGGATATAGAGATTGTCACCACAGATCTCCAGATCATGGGGGTGAGGAGCCGGGGGTGGGGGTGTGGTCTGTGGGGAGGCCCAACTGGGCTGTGAGGCTCAGGTCCTTGGTGCTCTGTTTAGGGGCAGCTGTGAGTGGTGACCCAGCGCTCACTGAGGCAAGGGAGAAGGCTGCGCATCTGGGCAGGGACCTGAGAACCTGCATTTCTGCCCATCTCCCAGGGTGTGCAGATGCTGAGTGAGGTCTGAGGACCATGTTTGGAAAACTAGTAGTTGGGCTGGCAGCATAGCTCCGGTGGTTGAGCCCTTGCCTAGCAAGTGCAAGGCCCTGAGTTCAAGTCCCAGTGCTGCCAAAAAGAAGGAAGGAAGGAAGGAGGAGGAAGAGGGAGAAAGGGAGGAAGGGAGGAAGGAAGGGAGAGAGGGAGGGAGGGAAGAAGGGAGGGAGGAAAGGAAGGAAGGAAGGAAGAGGAGAGAAGAAAAGAGAAAATCTTCCTTCCACGTTAGAGTGCCCAGTAGGACAGAGGTAGGAATGGCTGGGAGATGGGAATGTGGGCAGGACCCAGGCTCCGGCCTGGCCCCAGTTCTGGTAGAGGATCCTGCAGGTAGGAGAACCTGTGAGTGGGGCAGAGAGGCTGGGGCTGTTTGGGCAGATAACCTGAAGCACTGGCCTTGTGGAGGGCAGGTGGAGGAAAGCCAGTGGTAAGGTGCTAAGGACCTGGGGTCCAGGGATGAAAACACCAGGATAGCAGGGGAAATTAAATCACCGGAAGAGGTGAGGGCAGGGGTCTATGGGATGCAATGGCCCAGACTGGCCAGGGGTGGGGTTCTCACCTCGGAGCTGCCTCCAGGTGACCGTGGGCTCCGGCCGCCCCACAGCCAGGCAGAGCAAGTTCACGTCACCCCCTTCATTGACTGTCACAGGTGAGGAGATGTTCACGATGCGGGCGGGCACTGCAGGCCGAGCAAGCAGTCAGTGACAGGCTGAATGGGCAGCCCTAGCCTCCTCCTTCAGACCCGGGGGTTCAGACCCCAGCCTCCTCTCTCAGAACCAGGGGTCCAGACCCCAGCCTCCTTCCTCAGACCCCGAGGGCTAGGCCCCAGCCTCCTCCCTCAGACATGGGGGTCCAGGCCCCATCCTCCTCCCTCATACTTGGGGGTCCAGGCCCCAGCTTCTTCCCTCAGAGCCGGGGGTCCAGGCTGCAGCCTCCTCCCTTAGACATGGGGATCCAGGCCCCAGCCTCCTCCCTCAGACATGGGGGTCCAGGCCCCAGCCTCCTCCCTCAGACCCGGGGGTCCAGGCTGCAGCCTCCTCCCTTAGACATGGGGGTCCAGGCCCCAGCCTCCTCCCTCAGACATGGGGGTCCAGGCCCCAGCCTCCTCCCTCAGACTTGGGGGTCCAGGCCCCAGTCTCCTCCCTCAGACCCAGAGGTCCAGGCCGCAGCCTCCTTCCTCAGACCCAGAGGTCCAGGCTGCAGCCCTCTTTTTTTTTTTTTTGTCGGTCACGGGGCTTGAACTCTGGGCCTGGGCGCTGTCCCTCAGCTCTTCAGCTCAAGGCAAGTGCTCTACTACTTGAGTTACAGTGCCACTTCCGGTTTTCTGGTGGTTTACTGGAGATATGAGTCTCACGGTCTCTCCTGCCCGGGCTGGCTTTGAACCTCGATGCTCAGATCTCAGCCTCCTGAGTAGCTAGGATTACAGGCGTGAGCCACCAGCGCCCGGCTGAAGCTGCAGCCCTCTTGTTTCCTCCCAGCCCCTCTGTGGATCTGCGGGGCCCCATTTCCCCTTCTTGGAATCCCAGAGTAGGGCCTGTGTGCAGCTGGTTCATTCCCTCCCAGGCCCTGCAGGTGCCGCGGCTTTGATTGCACTAGCTGTGTGCAGTCCTGGCGTATGCCTTGGAAGCCCCTCTTGGAGCCTTTCCTTGGAAAATCCACCTCCGTTGGGCAGGAAGAGCCCACCTAGTGTATCCTCAGTCCTTAGAAGATGCAAGAAACCACCCCCCTCCCGCACGCCACAGCTCTCCTAAACAGAACTGTCTCCCCAAACCATGCTTATCCAGGGCCATTCCCTGTGCCTGGGTGACCTCTGCTTCTATGTGTCCCTGAGGTTGGGAAGTAGCACTGTGGGGGGGGAGGGGAGGAGCCCTTCCATGGCCTGTGGGGGGGTGTCTGCCATGCCCCCCCCTCAGGAGTGCCACCTGGGCCCTGGGAGGCTCACCGTGGACAATGAGGTAGAGCTGCGTGGTGTAGGGCTGGCGTTGGGTCTGGAAGGAGCAGGTGTACAGGCCCTCATCACCCAGTGCCACCTGGGTGATGAGGATGGAGAACTCCTCAGGAGTGTTGATGAGCAGCCGCACACGTGGGTCGCTGGTCCAGCGGTCGTTGCCCGCGTACAGGATGTTGGAGCGGTTCAGCCAGGCCACCCGCGTCACATGCTCATCAATGAAGCAGCTGGGGGGGGCAGTGAGGGGAAGCTGGACTTCCACACCCAGCACCGGCCCTACCAGGCTGACCCCGCTGTGCACGCCTTGCGGGTGGGTAAACTGAGACTCACACAGGGCAGGTGGGGAGCCCAGGGGCGCTGAGGCTCATGGTAACTGAGGGGTGCTGTCCACCAGAGACGGGCGGGGAGCAGAAGGAGGGGCTGGAAGCCCAGAGAAGGAGTCACCAAGACTGAGAAAGACCCTCAGAGACTGTGATGGGATGGGAGGCAGAGACCCAGTGAGGGGGGCGAAGGGGGCAGAATGCTCGGGACCAGCAGCCCAATAAGCAGGCCTAACATGTCCACCGGCTAAGCAAGGCAGATGAGAACTCTTGAATCCTCGACACTCACATGGTGGTCACCACCCCCAGGTGGGAGCAGTCTCCCCACACCCCCTCCCCAAGAGGGGAGCTCCACAGGGGAAGCACCAGCCGCCCCTCCACCTGGGGCCCCTACCTGAGGGTGGCGTTGTCACCTTCGCACACGGTATAGTTGTCTGCCGGGGAGTTGAACTCCAGGCTCTGGGACAGCAGCCCTGCAGGGGGAGCAGGCGGCTCAGCCCAGCAGCTGGGGCAGGGCAGGGTGGGACAGAGGCCTCACACCATGCTCAGCCCCAGGCTGGGGACACAGGATCTGCACCCACAGCCCACTATGCTCATGGATGTCACCAGAGATACACACAGCAGACACACTCAGAGCAGACACGCACATGTGAGCCCTCCCAGGGCACCGATACACAGGCGGGGATGGGGCTCAGGTTAACAGTTGCACCTCAGTGACACAGAGACAGCACATGAACACATAAACACACGTGCTCACATAGGAACACACTCACAATTACATGTTGTGCACACAGAAACCCATGTGTGCACACACATGCCAATCACATGTGCCCACAGGTACAATGCACACTGATACACAGACAAATATGTGCAGAGAAACATATAATATACATACATACCAGTCACATATACCCACAGATACATACATACACACAGGGTGCATACACACACCAACATATGTATGCACAAGGAAGGCTGCATTTGAACATACCAGTCGTGTGTGCCTACACATGACACACACATGTGGATACAGACTGACATGTGTGTATATACACCAACACCCATGTGCCCACGGACACACATGCAATGTACAAATGATACACAGGTGCACAGAGGTATGTGCAGATATACACCAATGCATATGTACACACATGTAGACATCCACACAGACATACCAGTCCATGTGTGCACAGGTATAAATCCACACACCCATACAGACACAGGTACATGTGCACACAGAGCAGACATGTGGACACAGGCATGTGCCCAGCCATGAGTACTCAGTACCCATGCACACAGATATAATGTACAGAGACCCATGCTTATGCACAGACAGGACACAGGTACAGATGCACACGCACACAGATACCACACATAAGAAACACATGTGGCTTAGTGGTACAGTGCTTGCCTAGCATGCATGAAACCCTGGGTTCAATTCCTCAGTACCACATACACAGAAAAGGCCAGAAGTGGCTCTATGGCTCAAGGGTTAGAGCACTAGCCATGAGCAGAAGCTCAGGGACAGTGCCCAGGCCCTGAGTTCAAGTCCCAGGACTGAAATAAAAAAAAAAGAAAGAAAAAAGAAAAAGAAAATCCCCTACGTGCAGAAACCCACGTATGCACACATTCACCCAGACATTCGGAGCCAGCGGACGTCAGACACTCGATGGGCACACACTGTATGGACCTGTAGACACACACCCACGGCACGTGGCCATGCTCAGATTTTGTATGCAAACCTTCCAGCCCTTGCTGCGCCCATGTGCACAGGCCCAGCTTGCCCATGGCCCAGAGGCCCCGTCTGTCTTCTCTGTGGCCCACGGCCAGTGGGCTGGACCTGGGCCAGCGAGTGCGGGCTGGGTGTGCGGAGGCGGGAGACAGCACAGGCTGGGAGGGAGGAGGCCAGCTGGGTGACCTTGGACGCCGGGAGCAGGCAGGCCCTGTGAGGGGCTGCCCTGCCCCCAGCAGGGGAAGAAGAGCTAATTAATCTAATGAATTAATTGCCCGTGCTGGCCCCAATGGCTCCCGGGGGTCCTCTCGATCACAGCCCCTCAGCATGGGGCCTGGACAGAGCCAACTGCCATGGCTAGCCAGGATGTGGGGCTCCAGGGCCCTGAGGCCAGGCCAGAGTCACTGGTGTGTTTGGAGGAGGCAGGAGGAGGGGAGGGCTGTCCCTGCCCTGCCCATGTGCAGTGCCCTGGACTCTGACATACACACACACAGTGTCAACAGCACCAAGAAACACTCATGCCTATGACTGTGTGCTGATGAGAGGGACACACACACACACACACACACACACACACACAGAGGCACGGTGACACCCATGGCCCAGATGCACACACAGCAGCAGGTCAGGTGGAAAAGACAGCTGTCTTCTGGGAGCAGCCAGACTATCACGCTCAGCGCCGGAAGGGGGGGTATGCGGGGGGTGGGGGGTTAGCCCAGGCCAGGCAGTCCACACACTGAGTCACCCCAGAAAATGCCACTGCTACTCTTTCCTGCAATGCTGTCGATGTCGCTCCAGACATGGCTCCATACTCTGGGGTACAGCACCACCCAGGGAGCCGCCCTCTCTCCCTCCCCCAACCCATCACATGGCATCCCCAGCCAAAGCAGATATCCCCCCCTACCCCCACCTCCAGGCCCTCAGCTTTGGAAGGAGGCCCTGAGTCCACCCACACCAAGCTACAACCTACAAGAGGAGAAGTCACAAATATAACGCCTGGGGCATAGCAATGGATGCCTGCAATCCCAGCACTCCACAAGCTGAAGCAGGAGGAGTCAAAGTCTGAGGCCAGCCTGAGCTGCATCCCAAGCCCTGACTCACACAAAACACAACGAAAAATTAGATATGTAGCTCAGGGCTAGAGCATCTGCTGAGCATGCACCAAGGCCCTGGGTTCAATCCCTAGCAGTACAAAAAACAGGGGGTCTGAAACCCAAACTATACCAATTCTATGTGGGTGCTCACACCATCTCCTAGACAGGCCAAGGCAGACACTGACCAAGGTCCTGATGACACCACTGACATTGGAGGTCAGTCTGTCCTGGGCAGTGTGTCTGGGTCTACATCCACTTGGTTCGGGAAGCATCCCCATCCTGAAGTTGGTCATAACCAAAAATACCTCCTGACCTTGCCAGTGTGTCCGTGACAGCCACAGCCCTCACGGAAGGCAAACTCGGGGCTGGGCGTGGCCCACATTATATCCACCGCTGCCTGGGAGGAAAAGGCCAAGAGGCAAAGTGTGAAATACTCTTGGAAAAAAAGAAACCAAAGGCCCAAAGGCCGGGGGGCGTGGCTGGCGGTGGGCGGTGCGATGGGCGTGGTTGGTGGTGGGCATGGCTCCGGAGCTGGAGCATTCGCCTGGAGGCGAGGAGCTGTCCAGGGTCCTGTCCAGGTCTGGGGACTGAAGCGTCCCCGCCTCAGAAGCCCATGCTGGGAGACGGACTCCCACCGCAGGCAGGCAGGGCAGACGGGCTAGAGCACAACTTGCCCCAAAGATCCTGCTGACCCTCCAAGGAGGCCTTTCCCAGGAAAGGGACCTGGGCCTCTGCTCCGGGGACCGCAGCAGAGCGGCTCACCGCCCGGCATGCAGTCAGCCCAAGAAAGGCGGGCTGCTCCTACACGGCGCCCTCTTTTTCAAGAAGCATCCATGGCCCTCCCTGGTGTGGCACCGCCATCTGAGAGAGGCCCCTGGCCGGGCTAGTGCTGTGTAACTCCTACAAAATGCCCTGCATGCGTCTGCTCCCACAAGCCCACCTCAGCTGCAGGGAGGGCAAGTGGGGTGCCAAGTTGCTGGGCTTCATGCCCCTGTACTGCCCTCCAGTTGCACAGGTAACTCCACCTCTTTGGACTCAGTTTCCCCGTGGGGAAGATGGTCAGCTTCCCTGGCTGTGGGGGAGAGGGAAATCCTGGGGGCACAGAGGCATCACAGGGCTCCGGAAAGCAGGCCTCATCTCTGTCTGATAAATCAAGGGGAGCGAGTGATTCCTCACAGAGGGACGTGGAGTTGGAGGTGAGAATGTAGCCCGGCCCCTCAAAGGATCCCAGAGAACTCTGCTGAGGGAAAGAAAGACAGGAGGATCTCAAGTTCAAGGTCAGCCTGAGACCTGATCTCAACACAAGCACCAATAAGTTTGCTAAAATGAACCAATAAAGCAGAGACTGGGAAGGCGGCTCAGCGGTAGAGTGCTTGCCTAGCATGCATGAAGCCCTGGGTTCGATTCCTCAGCACCACATACACAGAAAATGTTGGAAGTGGTGCTGTGGCTCAAGTGGTAGAGCGTTACTAGCTCTGAACATCAAGAAGCCTAGGGACAGTGCTCAGGCCCTGAGTTCAAGCCCTGGGTCTGGCAAAAAGTTAAAAAAAAAAGCAGGGGCAGCCCCCACCCCTTCCCAGGGCAAGATGGCCAGGGGCAGTACCAGCCTTCAAACCACCCTTCAGGTGTCCAAGAGCAAAGACACCCCAAACTTACTTGGAGTTGTCGCTTGGTTTAATGGGTTTGTTCTACAATACAATATAGCTGCTTTTGTGAATGAATGTTAATGGCATGAAGGGGGGTGTTGGCATAGAGTTTAGAAAAGAATTAAAAGTAGATTAATATTTAGGAATGCCAGGGAGGAAGTTAAGTGGAAATAAGCCAGAAGCAGCGAAATGGGCTTATTTTGTTTCTGTGTTTGGAAAAGCACCAATGAACCAACCCATTCTCTCTTTACCCTGACCTCTGTGTTCAATGAGTTTGTTTAAGTTGTAGAAAACTAATAGGGGGAGGAGGCTTCCTGTATCTGGGGCAGCCCCAGACACCCCATTTTTTTTGAGACAGAGTCCCACCATGTAGCCCAGACTTGGCTTAAACTCAAGATCCTCCTGCTTCTGTCTCCCAAGTGCTGGCATTATAGGCAGGAACCAACATACCTATGGCTTAATCTGGGGGTTAGGGGGCGGGGTGGGATGCACCTGGCTTTGCTCTTATACCTGGTGCATGATTTGAGTTATTTGGAAAATATCTGGAGTACAGAAGAAAGATTAGAGGGTTGGAGGCCTGGGTCAGGTGTTCAAGCATCAGCCAATGAGCAAAAGCATCATATCCTGGTCTAGGACAAAAAAGGAAGGAAGGGGGCTGGGAAGGTGGCTCGGCGGTACAGTGCTTGCCTTGCATGCATGAGGCCCTGGGTTCGATTCCTCAGCACCACATAAGCAGAAAAAGCTGGAAATGGCACTGTGGCTCAAGTGGTAGAGCGCTAGCCTTGAGCTGAAGAGCTGAGGGACAGCGCCCAGGCCCAGAGTTCAAGCCCCATGACAGACCAAAAAAAAAAAATAAATAAATAAAGGAAGGAAGAAGGAAGGAAGGAAGGAAGGCTGATTTAATAATAGCCCATGGCATAGCTGGCTCAGACTGCCCCTGGTTGATGGATGCCTCTCCAGCACTCCATTTTGTCTGGGCTCACCCCATCCCATCACCTCTTGTCCTCAGCTTGGGAACCTGAGTCTAGAGGCAGGAAAAGCCCAAACCAAGGTCACATCCACCCCATGCTGCACTTGAGCCAGGATTTGGACATAGGGGTGATCTTTGGGGGGGAAGGGGGTCTGGTCAGGGGAAGTTACCTGGAGAGTACAGAAGGTGTTGGTGGTAGTTCGGGGCAGGGGGAATGTGGGGGCACAGGGAGTGGGGGAGGAAGGAGGCAGACAGGATAGAAGGAGGGAAGGAGGTGACCACAGGGGCTCTAGCAGGGTGACAGATGAAGACGAACAGTTTGAGAGACAGATGGGACGTCACCCGGAGACTGGACAGGTGCTTCCGGAAGTGGGGGACACGGACACATCCAAAGATGAGTGACACACACCCCCACACGCACAGAGCAGCTCAGCTTCCTGGCTGGCTGCGTCCCCAGCCTCGACTGTCCCCTTACCCCGGCCTTGTCTGTCCCCCCCCTCCCCTGGTGGGCCAGGCCGTGGGAGGCTGTGCGCTCAGGGCCGCATTTGGCCGTGGGCCTCTGTCCGCGGTGCTTGGGGTGGAGGCGGGGGGGGGGGCTGTCCCTAGCACCCCCCCTACTGCGACCCTGCTGTAGTCACAAGTGTGACCCTGCTCCGAAGGCATCCCTCCCATCAGCTCAGGATTCCCCCGCCCCCTGCACCCCCTCTTGCCCCCACCCGGGACGGGGGGGGGGAGGACGTCCTGGCCGGTCATGGACCCTCGCTGGCCCCGGCTGTGTCCCGCCGGCCTCTCCTCATTAACCCTTAGCGCCCTGCTCCCGGCGGGCCTGTCCCTGGTCCAGCGCTCGTCCGTCCGTCCAGCTGCCCTCCTCCCTGTCCGGCCCCGCATGTCCACCTGAACCGCTCAAGCTGATTTCCAGCGCCGCACCCCAACTTCCCGGATTCCCGAACTACTCCCCCACACAGCCGCAGTACCCCCCAAACGTCCACCCCCCCTGGACCCGGGAGCGCGGGGGGAACCCCCTTCCCGGGGCACGCCCGGGGCGGCGCGGGGCTCCATCTGCGGGCGCACCCGGGGTGCCCCGCTTCCGACCCCGGGAA